CAACTCTCTACTAGCTGGGCTTCCAGCTAACTCTATCAAGCCTCTTCAACTGCTTCAGAACACAGCAGCACGAGTGGTCTTTAATGAACCTAAACGAGCACATGTCACTCCGCTGCTCATCCGTTTGCACTGGCTGCCAGTTGCTGCTCGCATCAAATTCAAAGCTCTGATGTTTGCCTACAAAGCGACTTCTGGCCTTGCTCCTTCTTATCTGCTCTCACTTCTGCAGATCTATGTGCCCTCCAGAAACTTGCGTTCTGTGAATGAACGTCGCCTCGTGGTTACATCCCAAAGAGGGAAGAAATCACTTTCGCGAACGCTCATGCTCAATCTGTCCAGTTGGTGGAATGAACTCCCTAACTGCATCAGAACGGCAGAGTCACTCGCTATTTTCAAGAAACGACTAAAAACTCAACTATTTAGTCTCCACTTCACTTCCTAATCTGCAATTGCCTCTCTGGGTATCACACTAACTGTACCAAAAAAAAAAAAAAAAAAAAAGTATATATATATATATATATATATATATATATACTAATACTACTAATACTTTCCTTCTTAGACTTTACAGACCTAAAACTTGCCTACAGGACTTACTCGTTGCTCTTATAGTTGTGTAAATTGCTTCCTTGTCCTCATTTGTAAGTGGCTTTGGATAAAAGCGTCTGCTAAATTACTAAATGTAAATGTAAAACATTTTACAAGTAACTTTTATTTTAAATTACTGCACCCGCGTTGAATGTTATCACTCAATTAATAGTGGTTATCAGCTTATAGATATGGGCCAGTAGTCTATTATTATCCATCCACATGGTTAATCAACTATACTAGTAGAAGACTCCAGATCTGTTTTTACATTACTGTGACGGCTGGGTTTAGGGTTGGGGTAGGGGCAGGGACGGATTTAACCAATAAGCAACACAAGCGGCCACTTAGGGCCCCAGGAAATCTGGGAGGCCCGCAATAAATATCTAGAAGTATAAATTGTAACTAAGCTATATATAACATTGTTTTCTACCATATTTTGTATGGTGAGAGTTAAACAAATACAATTTAAGCATAATGAAATATTATTTAATATACAATCAAATAAAATATTATTATTTATGTAATGTCATGTCATTTCAGGGCCGGAGTGGGACTCATTTTCAGCCCTGGAGTCCACCTCAGTTCATGACTGATTCCAATTCAGTTTCTAATTTCACTATCACGTCTTTTTCAAGAAAACAGCTGCTTTAGAAATTCAAATGTGCAACAACTCTGACAGTATTATATGTCTTTACAATAAAAATGAAAAAAAATTAATAATAATTTTACAGGTGAGGTTCGAACACGGGTCCGCAGTGTTGAAATGCAATGTGCTTACCACTGGACCACAATGGCACTATAACTACATCTATAAAAAATAAGTAATGACTTGTGACACCACTATTTTCCTTTGATGGCTCAATCATTTTCTCCTCTTTTTAGATTTCTGATCAAGTTATGTCAGATTTATTAATGTAGTCAATCATTTGATTTTAATTGAGCAGGTGTATTATTCATTAATATCAATTATTCGAATTCTTATATTCACTAAGGTGCCGCTGTTTGAGGTCGATAGTTACATTACATCATCATCATTAACGTTAGTTAACCTGCAGGCTGCATTTTGCTTACGGGGCTGTGAGAAAATAAATAAAAAGCGGCGCTGCGGCAAAATAATGAATAAAAAAAGTAAAGCTATGGTCAAAAAAACAAATAGATTAAAAAAGTGCGACTGCTGAGAGTTCAAGCAGCTAGGGACACCAACCATCGCGGCCAAAAAACAGACCAGCCCTCCGATCCTCCCGATTAGCCAATCCGGGCCTGTGTCATTTTCATCCGCTTTTCCAGGGCTGGGTCGCAGGGGTAGCAGTCTTAGGTGATAACAACCTGACTTCCCTCTCCCCAGACACTTCTTCCAGCTCCTCCGGGGGGATCCTGAGGCGTTCCCAGGCGAACCGAAAGACATAGTCGCTCAGGCATGTCCTGGGTCTTGGCCGAGACCTCCTCCCGGTGGGACATGCCTTGAACACCTCTCTAGGCGTCCAGGAGGCATCCGAAACAGCCACCTCAGCTGACTTCTCTCGATGTGGACGAGCAGCGGCTTTACTCCGAGCTCCTCCCAGGTGACAAAGCTCCTCAACCTATCTATAAGGGTGTACCCTGCCACCCCGCGAAGGAAACTCAGCCGCTTGTATCCGAGAACTTGTCCTTTCAGTCATGACCCAAAGCTCATGACCATAAGTGAGAGTAGGAACGTAGATTAACCGCTAAATCGAGAGCTTTGCCTTTCGGCTCAGCTTCTTCTTCACTACAACACTGAAATTGTAAATCGCCCATGTCTTGAGGTTGCTCATTATGATGCGATTTACCTTCTATGTGTGATTTGATTGGACAGGAATCACAAGACTGATTTTTCGGTCACACTTTACAATAAGGTTCATTAGTTAATGTTAATTAATGCATTTACTAACATAAACAAACAATGAACAATACATTTACTACAGTATTTACTAGGGATGTAACGGTATCAGAATTTCACGGTATGGTAATACCTCAATATGAATGGCCCGGTACGGTATTTATTGAGTAATTTACAGGAAAACAAAACTAATAAAAAGACTCGAAAAAAATGCCAAAAGTGTTTATTTACCTTAGCACTGAACATATCAATGACATACAAATTAGCCATCTATCTGTAAGCTTCGAAACAGGAACTTCAATTTTTCAATTTTAATAACAAAAAACTATTAAACCATGTAGAAAAATTAAGTTTCAATTTAGTATCGTTGAAAACTCATCACATTCAACATTCACTCACTCACTTACTCATATAGAGATGGGTTTTTTAAGAAAAATGATCATATAAATATAATCTGGTAAAAGCTGGGATCTCTGGGCATTTACAATGTCCCCTGCAACAGTAAAAAACCCTCTCATTTGGGACTGAGGTTTCTGGGACAGAGAGATATGATCTAGCCAAGGTTGACCGCAGTGGGTAACGCTGTGCATTGTCTTTCCCCCACTTGAGAGGACAAGCCATGAGTGAGATATAGGTCTCTTTGTGGTACAAGTCAATGTCTGCAATAATCTGAACAGTGTGCTGTATTCTGCAGTCCCCATGACCAGGGCCGGAGCAAGCTGAACTGCCGCTGTAGGCAGAGGACGATCACGCCGCCCTCAACCCCAATGTGAAAACGAAAGTGACCGGTTGTGAAAATGAAGTGAGGTGTCGCAGACCTCTTTTCCGGCGCACTATGCGCGAATATAACTGAGGACGCGCGGGTGCTGAGGGAGGGAGGGAGGTGTCGCGGACACTGCGCTCTTTATTCTGCCGCCCTATGCGCGGATATAACTGAGAACACGCGGGTGCTGATGGAGGTGTCGCTAACGCCGCCCTCTCTATTCTGTCGTCTATGCGCGAATATATCTTAGGACGCGGGTGTTGAGGGAGGTGTCGCAAACATAACTGAGGACGCGGGTGGTAAGGGAGGTGTCGCGGACGCCGCCCTTTCTATACTGCCGCCCTAGGCGGCCGCCTAGGCCGCCTCTATGGACGCGCCGGCCCTGCCCATGACTGTTTTAGTCGTATTCCCCAACTTGTATTTCACCACAGTCTGGCAGTGCCTGCTTATTGTTTTTTTCTTTATCTGTCACCTTTTCTTCTTTTTCGTTTCTTTTTAGAAAGAAACCGAAATGCTTCCACACATCTGATTTAAAACCCGCTGTAGGTTCGATCATTTCCAGCTCTTTTTCTTCCCCGCTACTAGCAGCACACTCCATTTACGCATTACTGGATCTGTAGAGACAACAGACCGCAAAGGATGATGGCCACGCCTGGGCTGATGGGAATTGTAGTTCCCGCTACCTCCCGTTCGCTTCATTCGCCTGAGCAAACTTTTCTCAAAAATATAGTTTTATTGAGTCATGTGACTACAGGAATATTGAAAAAAATTACTATTGCGGTATGACGGTATTTACAATATTGTTACATCCCTAGTATTTACTCATGTTAATAAACGTTAGTTAACGAAAACACAGTAGTTCATTGTTAGTTCATGTTAACTCATGGTGCATTAACTAATGTTAACAAGCTTAAATGTTAATAATGCATTAGTAAATGTTTAATTAAGATTATTAAATGCTGTACATGTGTTGTTCATGATTAGTTCATGTTAGTAAATGCATTAACTAATGAACCTTATTGTAAAGTGTTACCGATTTTTCTAATCTCCATAGATTGGAAATAATAAAGTAGTGACAGCAGGTTGAAGGAAATTAGTGGAGTAAAAGTACCAATATATGGACTAAAAATGTACTCAAGAGAAAGTAAAAGTGCTCAAACTACTGTAAATTACAATTTCTAAGAAAAACTACTCAATTACAGTAGTTTGAGTATTTGTAATTTGTTACTTTACACCACGGGATATTGCTTAAAATGTCACCAAAGGGGAGTGCTTAAATCTCATAATTAAATAGAAAATGAGGCGTATATCTGCCCACTTCTTTCACCATGGCTACAGGCCTGTACTAGTCATTTATTGAGCTTATAGCTTTAGTTAATAGCGTGAATTGTAGCTACATTAAAATTACCCAAATACAAATTAAATAACCCTTTTGAAACCTTTATTTTTTATCAATACTTTGACACATTCAGTCCAAGTGTATCCAAACTCAAGTCAGTGTCTGCAGGGCTTTCTGTAAGGCTGCATTATGTAATCTCTTAAACAGATTATCTCATTGTCAGCATGTTCATTGTTGATTACTGTCCGATATATTCAGCATTATGTCTTTATGAATGCACCACAGCATTTAAACACATTGCTCTTAAACTGACATGCAGTTTTACCATCTATCAGCTCGCACTGAATCTATACTCTCTTTGTAATTAGTTAGTGATGCTGTATTATAGGCCACTAAATTGCATACAAATCAATGCTGAAAGCGTCATCATAATGAAAACGCGCATGTCTTACCTGCCGATGTCGGAGCACATGAGAGAGTCCGCAGAAACAGCGGCCCGAGTAAAGTCGCATTTCTGTTTGCTGAAAAGTATGCAAATGCAGATAATTGCAGCAGTGCACACTAAAGCGAGTAAACAAAAGCAGCATCGCCTCGACTGAGATTTGGCCATGATTGAAGATTTGATCAGCGCCCGACCGGCAGGTACAGTGTAATGAAGCGCGCGCTCGCGTCTCTCTGACTTTAGTGCTGCATGGGGGCGGACTGAAGGAATGAAGGAGTTAGTAAATTTACCCGAGAGATTAGAAAGTTACTGGCAACTGAAGTGTGAGAGAAGAACTGGAGGTCACATGGCAATAGAGAAGTGGATATCCACTCAGACTTGATGTTTTGTAAGTTTGGTACCGAAGTCCTCGGAGACCATGCGTTAGTATATTTATTTATTTATTATTATCTTTATTTATTTATTTTTATTGTAGTAGTATTTACAAACATAGTACATGAGATACATCTCACAACAGTTATGAACATAATAAAAATAAATAAAATAAAATGAAATCAATTCTTTCAGTTATACAAAGTATAAACAGATGCCAGGGGTAGAAAAATAAATAGGTAAGATAATAATAATAATAATTATATATATATATATATATATATATATATATATATATATATATATATATATATATATATATATATATATATATATATATATATATATATATATATATATATATATATATATATATATATATATATATATATATATATATATATATATATA